GCAAATGTTGTTTAGTTTATTTTTCTCCATATCATACTTTGTTTTCGGAATTTTTTGAAAACTTGGTTTTTTTTTTTTTTTTTTTTTTTTTGGTCCGCGTTCGGCCCGAACGGCCGAACGCCTTCCGAAGGGGTCCCGTACGTTCGGGCGTTCGGCCCGTCCCGAACGCCGGCAACCCTGCCGCCAGGTGACCTGTGTGTGTAAATGGGGAAAAAGGGGGACAATAAACGGGGCTCTGTGAATATTCCCCGACTCATCATTCGGTTGAGCCCTCTAGTGCCTGCAGACCCCCCTCACTGATGACACTGTAGGTCCCCCCATCCACCTCAACCCTGATTGCGGTGGAGGGTAAGCCACTGCCCCGCAGAAGGTGGGAACCAACCACCCACGGTACCTGTCCCGAAAATGTAAGCAGGCCTAGGCTGCCAGCCGGGCCGCCCGGGTCCCGGGTGGCCAGCCCGTGCAAGGATCAGGTAAGGTCCCAGCAAAAAAAAAAAAAAAAAAAAAAAATCCAAAAATTCTGAAAAAAAAACTATGTTATGCAGAAAAATTAACTGAACAACTTTTGCCTCAGGGTCACATCTAAATTCTTCACCAAATTTAAAATAGAAAATAAAATTCAAAAATATTTTATTTATTTTTATTTTTTTGGCCCGGCCGGGCAAGTGACCCCAGGCCACTCTGGTAGCCTAGAAGCAGGCAGATTTCAAGTCTGTGTCTCACATCCAGATCAGATGGAAACCCTACAGACTGCAGCTTCAGCCCCCATCATACACCAGCGCCCTCCCCACCCCCCACCCCCCACCCCCGTAACGACAACACCTTTTCTTGCACCATAACAAGATATAAAATTATAAATTACATAATATATTCTGCTAGAAATAGAAAATCCAGCTCTAAAATTACTTACACTAGGGAAACCAAGCAAACATCTGTCGCAGCCAGAAATAGAGTCCAGAGTCCCCAGACCTGTGTTACTGGGGTGACCTGGGACCACTTGGCCGGGACCACTTGGCCAGGACCACTTGCCCGGGACCACTTGGCGGGACCAAAAATGAATGAATTATAGCAAAGAGTTTCGAACTTTCGATTCGTCATCGGATCCCTGCGGCAAAAGTTGTTCCGTTTATTTACGTGCAGAACATAGTTTTTTGTTCGTTGTTTTTTTTAATAATACAGGGATCCCCTTCCCTGGCCCTTGCCTGGCCAGGCCGCCCGGGTAGCCACGGTGGCCCCGGCGGCCTTGAAGGTAACGCTGCACCCGTACATCGGAGCTTACATCCACCAAAACCTGACCGCCCTGCGCACCCAAGTTTTGCCGAAACACCAACGAGGCGTTTTTGTTTTTATTCTGGCTGGAGCCGCCAGGCCATTTTGGTCTCATTGCCTCGAGCCTCCAAAATTTTAGGAGAGGCTCAACCATGATTCTCGAGTTGTCTGGGGCTATCTGCTGGTGGTTTAAAAAAAAAAAAAAATTAAAATCAGTGTTCTTTTTTCTGTGCCATCCTCGAGGGGGAAGAGGTCGAGGGACGCATCTGAGACATTGAAACTGTTTTAAATTGTGATTTATTTATTTTTTCCTTCTTACGAGTAAATTGGAACGTTGGACCCGGTTCCCAACTGGTGATGCTGCCGAGTCCCCACCAATAGATTGTAGACATCAAACAGTGCAGACTCCAACTTGGTAGGCAGTCGTATCGCCTGCTAATTAGTAGTCTGTCGTTGATGTGGAAAAAAGAAAAAAAAGAAAAAGAAAAGGAGAATATTGACTCTATTGAATCTATTCTATTTAGGCTGTTAGACAGGAGTGGAGGCTGTGAGAGGTATAATTGAGAGAATAATATAGCTTAGTTTTTTAAATATTTTTTCCAAAAATTAAAAAAGGGCAATGTCAGGCACCAGGTCTTTGCTGTGAGAAACTCTCAGCAGGCGCTCATCAGCACAAGCTGGGCCGCATTTTCAAGGCGATAGCAGCAGCAGGAGGCGGCGGCGGTGGTGGTGGAGGTGGAGGAGGAGGAGGAGAAGGAGGAGGAGGAGGAGGACGGCCAGTAGGGGTATCACCGGGAGGAGGAGTGGAAGGGGGGTAGCAGTGGGAGGAGGAGGAGGAGAGAGACGGTTAACGGAGGCCTCAATTTTCAGACCACTTGTCAGACCATTTATAACAAAACCCTAGGGGGTCATTTTAACCAAACTTGGCTACTAAATCATAGAGTGGAGATCATGCTAACTACTTTAAAAAATTGAAAAAAAAACTTACAAAACCTATAAAACAGCAATGCAAAAGTGTGTTTTCATGCAAAATTCACTCATTTCAGTTTTCAGGATTTTCAGGATTTTTCAGGGTTAGCCAAAACAGTCGACTCCAAGACCCCAACAAACACCAAACTTGGCACACACAGACCTTGACGAAAAATAAAACAGGGCAAAAGATAACCAGGGCTGAAAAGTGGGGGTCCCTGTTAACCGCTTATGTAGCAGGGGGTAGAGGAGGAGGAGGAGGAGGAGGAGGTAGCTGGGGGTAGTCGAGGAGGAGGAGAAGGGGTAGCAGGGGGAGGAGGAGGAGGAGGAGGAGGAGGAGGAGGCAACGGGGTAGACGGAGGAGGAGAAGAGGTAGGCGGAGGAGGAGGGGTAGGAGCAGGAGGAGAGGAGGGAACAGGTTGTAGGACCTAAAGGTGGCTATCATTCAAAGAGAAGAGTAGCATGACAAGGAGGCGGAGGAGGAGGAGAAGAAGACGGGGTGGTAGCATTACAAGCAGAAGCAATAGTCGTAGTAGGAGGAGGAGCTGGAGGCGAACAGGAGGAGGAGGACGCGAAAGCAGAGAACAGGTTGCCGGACCTCTCACCTTCGGACAAGTCCTTCGCGATTACCACCATCACCGACAACGATGTACGTAATGCCACATGGAGATTCCTTCCAATTATACATCGGTTTCTATAAAAATCGCAAAACGATCATAGCACCAAGGAGCTTGTCACAAGTCTCACAAGTACAGAGGGACGAGTACGGCAATCGCTGTGAAGGGTAAGCGTCCTTCCACCTTAGGCTAAATTAAATCGGGAAAAGTCATAAACCCTCCCCTCCCCTCCCCGCTACGAAACCTTTGTAAGTTTGTATCCATTTGCCCCCAAAGCAGGGGGAAAGGTGCGGCAGCCTGCAGGCCCCAAAATCACTTTCGGCGTCATTTTTGCGTGCACCCTGCAAAACACTTTCCCGCCATTTTTACACAGCGGCCGTTACCGTCCTGGCCAGCCTGAGGGTGCAAAAATGACACCAAAAGGTCCAAAAGTGATTTTGGGACCTGCAGCACTTTTTTCCCCGTTTGGGGGAAATGGATACAAAAATTCCGTCGCGGGGAATTTAAATTTACCCCAGCAAGAAAAGGAAAGAGGAGCAGGTAGCCGCCGCTAACGCTCACTGCTGTGCGAAAAGCAGGATTTGATTTTAACTCCTGATCTATCCTAGGCGACCAGAGTTGCCACGGACCACTTGCCCGGCCGGGCCAAAAACAAATTAAAAAAAATCAAAAAAGTTAAAAACATGTTTTATTTTATTTTGTGTTTTAATTCTGGTAACGAATTTCCATGTGGCCCTAAGGCAAAAGTCGTTCACTTTATTTTTCCGCATAACAGACATACTCTTTTTCAGGTTAAGTTTTTTTTTCTTCGCAAAATGGGAATGAACTTCCCTCTTCAGTTTGAGCCTCCAGAATTTGAGATGTCAGACCCGCGGCTGAGGATGCATGCATTCTTTTTATATCTAATCTCTATTTTTAAATTTATTGTTTTAATTTCTATTTCGAAATCTAATTTACATGAGAGGTGTTTCTACCCGTTCAGTGCCAACCGTCTCCTTCCCGCCCTCCCGTTCCCCTCCTTCCCCCCCCCCCCTCCAACCATTTAAACAACCACATTAAAAGAGGGGGGAGGGGGGGGGCAAAGAAACAAATAACGAGGAAGACAGGTTTGCCTTCTCTGGTCATCCTCTATGCTTGGAATTGGGAGAAGACAAACTGCCACAGCCGCCAACACTCCCTCCAAAAGATGCGCTACCCATTGCACGACTCACACTGAACACTGACTCAGCGGCAACTACGGGCAATCTTAAGCAAGCAATATGGTGGGGGAGGAGAGGGAGACAGGTAACACCCCCCCCTCCCCCCCCTCCCTCCCCTCCCCCCACAAAAAAAAGAAAAAGAAAAAAAGAACAAACTCGACCCCCTCCTTGCCCCAACACATGCTACATATCTGACCCCCTGTTCAGAATGATTGCTCTGGTGGGTGTCACAACTCGGTGCTTCTGAAATCTGGGGTTGAGAGAGAGAGAGAGAGAGAGAGAGAGAGAGAGAGAGAGAGAGAGAGAGAGAGAGAGAGACATACCGTGCGCTCATACGCATGCACATGGCCTGTGAACACCAAGTCTACTTTCGCAGAGTAGAGTAGATCCTCGATAGCTTTTCGCATCTCTTCACCATCGTTTTTATGCGCATAGTTGGAGTTATACCAGGGTGAGTGGAAAAGCACAATGAGCCATGGGGTGCGTTGGCGATCGACTCGTCCTAGATCCCCCTGATCCAAAATCACCAACACATACATCAGCGGAAGTAATCACATAAGGGGAGAGAGGGAGAGGAGAGAGAAAGACAACGGAAAGGGAGGGGAAGCAGTAATTGGCAGAGGAAGGCAAAGCCAGTGGACAGAGAAGTAGGGACAGAGGGAAGTGCAAGGGAACAAGAAGGGAACAAGAAGGGAACGAGAAGGGAACGAGAAGGGAGAGAGAAGGGAACGAGAAGGGAGAGAGAAGGGAAGGAGAAGGGAGAGAGAAGGGAGAGAGAAGGGAAGGAGGTAAGGAAGTGGAGGAGAGGAGAAGAGCGGATGAGAGGAGAGTGGGAAGAGTAGCGAGAAAAAGTCAAAGGGAAAGAGAGGGGGAGGAGAGAGGAGAGCGACGGGTAAGGATATGTCAAGGAGAGAGGAAGAAGGGCATTGTAAGATGATAAGGAGGGGGAGATGGAGTTTAATAAACCAGATACTACAGATAGTGATAAATCAAGAGGAAGGAGTGAAAGGGATAAAAAGGAGGTCAAACAAAGCAGATAGGGGCAAACTGGAAAGCAGAGAGAGAGAGAGAGAGAGAGAGAGAGAGAGAGAGAGAGAGAGAGAGAGAGAGAGAGACAGAGGAAGGATGGAAGGGAGAAGGTAGCAAACACACCTTCAACCATGAATACAGAGTCGAATTTTCTTTGAAGTCAGTGAAGGAATTGAGCATGATGATATGTGCACCAGCAACCTCGAAGGAGTAGTACAAGTTCGAGTCGGAACCGCTCTCCTTATACGGCATCTGCCATCTTGCATTGTAGGCTTTAAACTCTGGTTCGAACCCGAACAACCTCTCCTGATCATGGTTCCCCTCTACAACCATCCATGGAATGCTGCTTGCACTTGGCTCAATAAGCCGCCCCCATGTGTCCCATCGCGGTTGGTACGCATCAGCATACGATAGGTCTCCGGCAAATAGAACCATGTCTAAAGGTGTCTTCTTCATATGTCCCAATGTGCTTGCCGACCATGCCGTCTGTCCTAAATCTCCTATGGAACAACAGGCAAAGCCATGTGTCAGATTCTCGAACGAAGTGGCTGGGAAACACAAAAAAAAAGAGTCCTTTTTCATCTTTGTTTTTTTTTTTTCTGAAGAAGAAAAAAACAGAAAAAAAAATCATTTCTTAAAATGTGTACAAACAACCGACCCGGCGATGCCATCAGGACGATGATCAGCCCTAAAAAATCTCCTACAGAACGACAGCCAAAGCCTTGTCCAATTGTCAGCCGAACTGGAGGATTGTTTTTTCTTTTTCTTTCTTTCGTTTTGAAATGGCGCAGGCCTTCAGATATCATCATCATCATCATCATTGCACTGACTGGCCCTGCTGGCCCAGCCAATTCAGAAATAATATATCCTATTCTATTCATCTGATTGCATCTGGATTCGAACTTGGGTCTGATTCATATTTCCACAGATCATAGGTGTACCAACTGAGCTACACCAGTTAGTAACTCTAAGGGCATTGCCACACCACTCTCGAAACTTGCAAAATGGGAATGACCTTCCCGCTAGAACATGGCCAGATGCACCCGCCAATTTTTTGTCTTTTTCAAATTTCGAGAGTGGTGTGGTGCGGCCCTAAGATTTGTCAGCCATTTCAAATTTCAAATTTCTCAGTCCTTTATAAAAAATAAAATAAATATTGTCACCCATACACAGAGTGCACACCATACTTACTACTAACAGCCAAAAAAAAACAAGAAAAAGTTCAAAAAACAAATAAATAAAAAGTTATTAAAAGTTAAAACAGCATTTTTTATTATTATTATTTTTTTTAACAGCATAAAACTTCAAGACAAAGGCGCACTTTCATGCAAATTCCATCAAAATTTGACCCCCAAGGGCCCAAAGCCTAATTTCAGTTTTGCGCCCGTTGGTCAGGACCTGAAAATCGGGGGTCCCCGTTAACCATTAATGTCATTCATCTAGTTCCGTCATCTGGATTCGAACTTGGGTCTGTCTGCAATTCAACAGATCATGGGTGCACCAGCTGAGCTATTGCAGTTGGTAACTGGACGGTTGTCAGACGAACTGCCACTGGAATAAAAAGGAGTGCTGCTTTTGTGTTTAGCTTTTTTTTTTTTAAGCTGTCTTCTTCTCCTCGGGGGACACCTGTAGCTACCCGGTACACAGTAGGCAGAGAGGGAGGGGAGGGAGAAGAGGACAACAAACGAGGGGCTGTGACAAACTGTTTCATCGGAGTTTCACCGACTCATCAGAAGCGTGGTCTCATTGGCAGTCGGATAGAAGTGTGGCTGATCCAGTGTGACACTGAGTGGCAGCGGCCTGACAGCTTCATTACGAATTTCTGGGCTGAGAAAACAAGAGAAAGGCAAAAAAAAAAACAAAAAAAAACAGAGACCTCCAACCGAAAATCAGGCAGAGTACTTCCCAGCCATCAGATCAGATCACCAATGATCTGATGGTGGTGTTTGCAACAACAGTGAACAAAGTAACCGCCACATTTTCTGGAATAAACTCTACTTCTGTCAGCAGTGATCATGGCGCCCTCCATATATATATATATATACTCCGTGATTGAAGGAGGGCTCCACCCAATGAAATAATTGCACAACAGCAAGCAGAATACTGAAAATCTTCTATCCAGTGGGCCTATGGCAGATCCCACCCTCTTTTGGGGTTGGGGTTGGCCATACCCCCAACGGATTGAAAAGATTTTGGCAGGAAGCTTCCTTTGCGGCTGCATGCCCAGTGTTAAGGAGAGGAAGAGGGGAACAAAGATCTCCTTAGTTTTTCAGGTAATACATACTGCACGGCAGGATTTGGATCACTCAACTGCCACACAAACTCTTTTCTATCCTATCCCGTTGCTAGTGGGACCATGCTCCAGGAGGCTGAACCCTCTTATATATATATAATATATGAGTCGGTGAAACTCCGACGAAACAGTTTGTCACAGCCCCTCGTTTGTTGTCCTCTTCTCTCTCTGTGCCTACGGTTTTACCGGGCAGTTCTGTTTGTGACGATATATAGATATTATAATATATATATATCGTCACAAACAGAACTGCCCGGTAAACCGTAGGCAGAGAGAGAGAAGAGGACAACAAACGAGGGGCTGTGACAAACTGTTTCGTCGGAGTTTATATATATATAAAATATATATTGTCACAGAACTATTGACTAAAATAGTAAAATATATATATCGTCAATATATAATATTGTCACAGAACTATTGACTAGTTTGTCGGGAAAGTATGCTGGATGCGACGGGAGATTACCTGGCAGCACCACCTCCGGATCTTCTGTTCGGTAGTAGCATTCGAGATGCGCCTGGCATGGTGAACCCGGGGTATCTCATGACGAACTACGAAACGTTTCCGGGGAGGTGGTAAGATTGTAGGAGGATAGTCTGGGTGTAGCAGGCTGTAGGTAAGGTGCAAGCACAAGGAAACACTCAGCGAAGGCAGGTATGGGTTCGGATGGGAGAGAGTTAAGGATGGAGGGCTGTGTGCGGGAAATAACATACGGGAAGGAAGCAAGTTTGGACCACGTACCGGGGGAACACGCAGCCTGGGGAAACGACGGGCTGAGCCGAGGGATAGACTACGAGCCAGTTACAAAAAAAAGGGATCTCGCCGGAAATTTCGCAAGATCGCCTGATGACAGTGTATCCGAGCTCACAGACCCCTAGTGGCGTATAGGACAAGGCAGTCACAACGAGTCGGATGCGCCACGGAACGTTTTAGAATAAGGGCGCGGAAGCGCCGATACTGGACGATATCAGTCGGGGGAAAGGTCTGGGAGGCAGGCAGCCTGCAGGAAGGAGCGCAAGCACGGGTAAACATGCATCAGAACGGGACTCGAGGCCAAATTCAGTAGGCAAACGAGGAAGGGTTTTTCGGACTACCTGGGCTACGCCTGAAGTGAGCGGGAAAGTAGAGTGCGATGCAAGGACCGAACGCTGTAGGATGAAAGCGGAAAAGGGAAGTACAATTCAGCACATATAGACATAGGAACATGTAGCTCTCACCATCTCGACACCCCCTGATGAGGTTGCCGCTGGCAGCAACCGAAACTAGTCGGGGATGCCAGTCGCAAAGGTCCGACGTTTTTCACTCTCATCTCGAGCGAGCCAGGGCGGATGTCATGTGGCTGTGGTGAACTCCGAGCTTCACTGGCTTTCTACGAAGAGTTCAGCCATAGCAAGCTATGGCGAAATTTTTGGTTGGGATGATTTACTGCGCACATTTACGTCGTGGTAACGCGGTTGTGTGAACTGCGAGTCGGACTGTCCGTCTCTACTACTCCACATAAGAGTGCAAACATGTGAAGTAGAAGAAGAAATAAGATGAGCGAAGAAAAGAAAAAATGAAAGGACAGACAGGCAAAGAGACAGACAAACCAGAAAGACAAAAAACAACGTCTTCTTCTTCTTTGTTTTAGTGTATTCTTAATTCTTTCAGTGTTTTATATTTTTTTAACACTGAACAAAGGATAAAAATAAAAAAACAAAGACACATTGAAATCATTCAATTGATCAGTCTTCTTAACTCCTCCTCCACTGCGCCTCTCACGTACAAGGCTCGCCACGTTGATGAAGTTGAGCGCGAGCTGGCCCTATCCCCGTATGCCATAACAGCCCACTTGCACGCTATGCGAAAGAGGCAGAGTGAAGGAAGAGGTGGCAAACGCAAGGAAGAGAGCAGCAGAAAAGGAAAATCGATAGGCAGAGGGAGAAAAAATATATAAAAAAAAAGTGACACAAACATCTTCTTTCTTTTACTGCATTCTTCTTTCTTTCACAGTTTTGCAGTTTTGGTGAAGAGTCTACCACGTTCGCTTTTCAGCGCACCTGCACTTCCTTCTTCACTTTTTATCATGGCTACGATCCGGACGTCCGGACTGCCGTCCAGACGGTCTGGATTCAATTCGGACTTCAGACGTCCGGTCTGGAAGGTCCGGATCTGCCAAAATTCGAGGAAAAAAAAAAAAAAAAAAAAGGGTCCAGGACCCTTCCCCATTGAGGAGCCGAGCCCCCAAAATTGTTTTGGGGGCTTTTCAGGCCCGTTTATGCTTTTTTGGGGGGGTACGGACATGCTCTCTCTCTATAATAATTTATTAGACAACCCCAATTTTTTAATTATTAATAATCATACTTGCGGCGCATCGCGATGCGCTGCACTGCGCACGTGCGCCGCACCGCGCATCCCGCACGACGCGGGCGCACTGCATGCGGCGCACCTCCAAAAATGGGGGTCAAAAAAAAAAAAAAAAAAGTCGTGAGGGGCGGTAGTAGACCCAACCCCCTGCTCGCGTAAAATAAGAAACGGGCAGCCAATTTTTTTTTGGAGGCCGCGCGTTGGCCTGAAAGCTTTTAGTAACCTGTAGTTCAGGTAACACTCTGTGTGTGTGGTAGGGTTATTGCAGTCTGTATGGTAGGGTTCTTGCAGGCCAGATTCAGTCATGATGAGGGTCGCGATTTCTCAAAACGTTCTTTTCTTATTACTTCGGAAGTAGAAAACGACGGAACTGACAGCCGTTTTTCCTGGAATGTTTTTATTTTTATTTTTAAAGGAAGAAAATCAGAATTTCTTTGCACGAGTGTCGCCCGGCACGTCCAACCTGTCAGAACCTCAACGGTAATTGCAGTCTGTATGGTAGGGTTCTTGCAGGCCAGATTCAGCCATGATGAGGGTCGCGATCTCTCAAGAGTCAAAACGTTCTCTTCATATTACTTCTGAAGTAGAAAACGACGGAACTGGCAGCAGTTTTTCCTGGATTTTTTTTTTTAATAAAAGGAAAAAAACGTAAAGGAAGAACAGCTCTTTGCACGAGTGAAGCCCGGCGCATCCAACCTGTCAGAACCTCAACATAATGTTTACCAACGGGCTCGCTGCACTACTCTCGACATGCACAACAAGACATATATGGCAATGTATCTTTCCATGTTCAAGCGGAGGATTCAGTCTCATGTGTTCAGAGATTCTCCAAAAAAAAAAAAGAAAGGTTCCAGAGATACGTT